TTCATTTCCTACATTGCCCTCCCAAAGAAATTGATTTACTCTTCATTTTTTGAAAATATTTGGCATAATATAAAAATGCTATTTGATCATTCTTGAATGTTCACATATGCATTAATTGATGAGATGGTATTGTTAATCCTAATTCTTATTCTCTTTAAATGTCTCCTGTAGTCAATCTCGTAGCAGTGGACAGCAACTAAGGTGACTCTTCAGGTGACAATGTCTCTTAGGCATCCTTCTTGAAGTCCTCTTATGCATGTGTGGTTATCTGTAACTCAAAGGCTACTGCATAGTGCCACCCACTCTGGCATCTCTCCTGAAACAAATGTTCTTTAAGGGATGGATTGTAAGAGTTTGTTTGGCAAACCAACCTAAGACAGGCACAGTCCAGTTGCTGAGCTCTCCTGAGGCATGGTCAACAGAGCCCAAACAAAGAACTTTGGCTGCCACTGAGTACACATGCAATTAATAAAATGGGTGAACATATAGAAAATTAAGACCTACCTATAAGACCAAGAGGAGCCAATCTGGAGTCTTTCTGGTGCTGTCAGATGTCCTGATCATGGTTGGTCAATGAGAAGGCACCACATAATGCTACCTGAGGGTGTAACAACAGGCACTGAGAAGTCTTTATTGTGCCTAGTTAATAAGGGGTGACCATGCAGTGTCAATGGGTTGGAATGCCTGGGTACTGGTGGCAGGGTATATAGGTTTTCTCTGTTGTTAAATAAGCAAGTCCTTTGTATGCCTTTTACTTGAATCTAGTGTCTGAGCTATTGATGCTGTGCCTTCTCACCTCCTTCCCCAAGGAAGACAGTAGGGCCTACCTACAACAGTTTATGTTGGGGAGGATGTGAAACAAGAGAAACACTCCTCCACTCCTGGTGGGAGTGCAAACAGCCACACACAAATTTAGAAGTCAATATGGTGGTTTTTCAGAAAATTGAGAATCAATCTACCTCAAGATCCAACTATACCAATCTTGGGCATATATCCAAAAAATGCTCAATCATTACTCAATGACATTTGCTCATCTATGTTCACAGCAGTATTATTCATAATAGCCAGAACATGGGAAAAACCTAAATGATCCTCAACTGAAGAATGAATAAGGAAAAATGTGCTATATCTACACAACAGAGTATTACTCTTCTGTAAAAATCAATGACCTCTTGATATTTGCATGCAAATGGATGGAACTAAAAAAAATCATTCTGAGTGAGGTAACCCGAACACAGAAGGACAAACATGGTATGTACTCACTCATAAGTGGATATTGGGAGTAAAGTACAGGATAACAAATCTACAATCCTCAGCCCCAGTGAGGCTAGATAACAAAGAGAGCCCAAAGAGTGATGCAGAGATCTCACTGGGAAAGAGAAATAAAAAAAAAAAAATCTTCTCGATAAGCTGGGTTTGGATATGGGGAATTTGAGAGATGGGACCTTGAGGGCACAGTGAGTATTCTTAAAGATAGGCAGAGACCTCTTGAAGAGTCTGTTCATTCTTTCCAAAAGTCAGTCATAAACAATGATATCTTACACTTCTAAGAGTATAAAGCTGAGAAAAATGTATTTAGAGTTAGATATTTCATGTCTTATTATTATTCTGTTGGAGGAAGGCCTCTAAACCAAATCCTATGTTGTTAGTAAATAACAAAAACTTAGATAAACTTATTCCCTAAAGTATAAATTTTATCAAGTCAATTTAAGATGTCGTTTTCTTCCCACCATGGTAACCCACACAGAACTTATTTAATAGTGGTAACTGGCTAACTAATTAGCCTTATGAATTTCACAGAAAATGACATACTCCTATCTGGAAGAATCAGAGAACTTGAGACCAATTTTCTGAAACTCAATTTTAGCATTCTATGAAATAGCTCTTCTACTCATGAGAACGTGCTAAGAGCAAAGAAAAACAAGAAGGAGGCAAATCCTGGTGTTTATGGATGGCTTCAAAGGTTTGCAATGGAAATGAGGGAAACAAATAATTTCAAACAAAGAAAAAGTGATGAATGTTTGCAGAAAGAATGCAGTCTCTGAATGAAACGTTTAGACATAGACAATAACAGGAAATGCATAAAATAAAATTGAATTTCACTGTACAAAATTCAATAAAGGATCACATTAATTTTATAAAGCAAACACATGTAATAAAAACCTTAATTTTTTGAGAATGTGAAAACCACTGTGTTAACCCAGTTCCATGCATGTACAGGTCTCCTGGTAATTATGTTAGAAAAATGCATGAACCTAATATTTACCCAACTATTGAATGGTAATATTTATGATGGGAGTGTAATATAAATTATACATATTTAAACAGTTTTGTCCCTTGTTCTTCCTTTGTTAAGATTGTTCTTTAGTATTTAATGGTTTTGCATATTCTATACTTGAAAATTTTACTTATTCTCTTAGATAAATGTGTATATGTGTGTTTTCAAACTCCCATGAGCACATATACCATATCCCTGCATGTAAAATTACTTGAACTATTGTGATAAGGCTGCTTGTTTGTTCCCAGCTGCTCAGACCAAATAGATCACATAGAAACTATGCTCACCTTACTAGACCTGGATGGAGGTGGGTGGTCCTTGGACTTCCCACAGGGCAGGGAACCCTGATTGCTCTTTGGGCTGATGAGGGAGGGGGGC